GCCAAGTTGCTTAGCCTCATGATCAAGACATATTCGCAGCAGGTACTGAAGACTGTTAGCCTACCTCTTCATTAAATGTCCACCAATCAGGCTTGAGTTGAACTTGTCAGAGGCATTCACTGTCAGAAAGTACCCTCTGAATTTAGGGTGTTTCAGAGCCTCCCTTGTTGTCTTTGGTTATGGAGGAAACCACTGATCATCAATTTATTGATTATTAGCCTAAATAATTGATTATTAATTACCTGGAAACTCTGTCTTTTGGGGGTTTTATTCATCACAGTTCCCATTTTAATCTTCATCCATATACCACAATTTGTTTAATCATTTCCCAGCTGGTGCACATGCACTTTTTATTTTTTCTTCTTCCTACCACAAAAAGTACTGCTGTGAATCTTTTGGGTACATATAGGGTCTTTCATTCTGTCTTTGATCTATCCCTTACATATTTTTATAGTTGTAGAATTGTTGGGTCAAAAGATATGAACAACGTAGTGACTTTTCTCTCATAATTCTAAATCACTTTCTGGATGGTGGAAACAATTTATAGCCCTACTGAAATTATATTAATGTGTCTGTTTTCCCATAACTCCTCCAACCATTGACTATTTCCATCTTTTATAATCTTGGCCAATTTGATGGATGTGAGCTGAAACCTCAGAGTAATTTCAGTGTATATTTCCCTTATTAGCGATTAAGAATAATTTTCCTGTGGTTGTTGATAGTTTTCAGCTCTTTCGAAAATGATTTGTTGTTAATTGCATGGCTGTAATTGTTAATTTCCCCTTACAACAAGCCCAAATTTGCTGCTTTGATGAAGCTTTCACCCACTGCTGCAGTGTCTTACCTCTCTGGCCAAGGAAAATAAGCCAAGTGTTTCCTCTATATGAAAATCTTTAAACTGCTCAAAGGCAGCTCCCATATCTCACCAAGTCTTTTTTTCTGCAGGCCACCTATCCCTACTTCTTTTATCTGATCTTCATATGACATGATCTTGAGGACTTTCATCATCCTGGTTGCACTATTCCACATTTCCTTCAGCTTATCAGTGCCAATCCTGAAATGTGGTGGCCAGATTTGAATTCACTACTGCAGATATAGCTTTATTAGAGCAGGGTAGAAGAGACATTTCTCCCCTTCAGTCTTGCATACTGGAGATCTTAATGAAACTTTAGATTACATTGGCTTTTCTGGCTTTCATTTAATTTAATTTCATTCTTGGCTCATAATTAGCTCACAGTACACTGCAACCCTATGCTTTTTAGCAGACAGTCTCTGTGCTAGACATTTCTTCCCCATCTTGCACTGATGATGTTTATTTCTTCAACCTAATTTATCCCTGCTGAATTTCATCTTAATAGATTTGGCTCAAGGTTCTAACTTGTTAAAGAGCTATTTTGATCTGGACTGTCATTCAGTGCTTTAGCTATCCTTCTTAGCTCTATGTCATTTGAAATTTTGAAAGACAGGCCACTTGTACCTTTATCCACATCACAGATAACATGTTAAAAAAAACACAAGAGTCGGGGCAGCTAGGTCATGCAGTGGATAGAGCACTGACCCTGGATTCAGAAGGAACTGAGTTCAAATGTAACTCAGTCACATAATACTTATTAGCTGTGTGACCCTGGGCAAGTCACTTAACCCTGTTGCCTAACCAAAAAAACAAACAAAAAATAAATACAGACCCAAGCGTAGATGCCTTGGATGCCTCAACTAAGATCTGCTTTGAAGCTGACATTGGTTCATTAATGAGTATTCTTTTAGTGAGGCCATTCAACCAGTTCTAAATTCTCCTAACTTTTCCATTGTTTCTGGGGGTGGGGAACCTGTGACCTCGAGGCCACATGTGGCCCTCCAGGTCCTCAAGTGCACCCCTTTGCCTGATTCCAAACTACATAGAACCGAACTTGAGGACCCGGAAGGCCACATGTGGCCTCGAGGTTGTAGGTTCTCCACCACTGGAACTTCAATCTATATTTGTCTAGGAGAGCATAAGCATCAGAAGATCATGAGACTCTCTGTTTACTAAGATCACAAAACGATGGGATACCAGGTTTAGGACTTAAAGGGCTGCTGGAGGTTCTGTGGGCCAACTTTCTCATTTAAGAGATTAGGAAACTGAAGTCTAGAGAGGTTAAGTGGTTTGTCTTAAGGGCAGCCATAGGAGTTAGTGAAAGATTTGGAATTTGATGCCCGGTTTTCTGCCTTCAAATCTAGTAAATTATTTGTAGCTTTTTCTTTTTATCACTCTATTAATAAGTCAATTGAGTTTAATTTGGTATTATTTCTTCTTGATGAAGCCATGTTAGCTATTTATGATTGCTGTATCCTTTCCTAACTGCTCACCAAACATGACTTTAATAGTATATCCTAGGCTTGTGTCAGAATTTGAATTCAGATGTATTGACTTATGGCTTGCAGATTCTATTCTTTTGATTTTTTTTTTTGAAAATTGGGACATTTGCCCATATTCAGCTTCATAATTCTTCTATTCTCCATGGTATTCTAAAAATTATTAATAATAGCTTAACAGTCATGTCCACTAGCCTTTTCAGTATTGTGTGATGTTGCTCTTCTGAGCCTGGTAACTTGAACTCATCTAGGGCTGCTCTCTTTGTCTCCCTACTTAGCTTGGTTGTGAACTCCCTTTTGGCTACTTTTATTCTGTCCTTTCCAATCCTAAAATCATTCTCTTTGGTAGAGAAAACTGAAGCACAATGAAAATTGAGTGGTCTTAACATTTCTCTGTTGACCATCGTCTCATTCACCCTAATGGGTCATCCTTTTACTTTTCTGATTCTTTTTTAATTCAGTATTGCTAAGAAAGCTCCCTTGTTTTTTGTTGGCTTTAGCTTCCATGTGCACCCTCTGCTTTTGGGTACAGCTGCAGCTTTCGGGTTGCAATCCAGATTCTGTGCATTAGGCTCATGATACACTCTTTTGTTCATCCTCTTCTCTCTCATATTCCTTTTTCCAGATGACTTTTTAAGCTTCTTAGTTGGTTGCTGAGTTCACTGTGGAGACACATTAGTTTTGTTAAACAACATCGCCTCCACTTCCTCCTCATCAGAATTGTTTCCCTTTTTGTTATATCACTTTTCCTTTTGAGAGCTTCCTATTCACCCTGGTTTCACACCCACTGCAGAATTTTGGTCAATCTGATCCTAACAATCTTTTCTTTGAAACCTTTGAAATCTGCTCTCTTCAAATCTAGGATATATCTGAGACTATGCCTGGTTTTCTTCTTTTTTTCTATTAAAAAAAATTCTGAAATGAAGTGTTATTTTTTTCCACAAGGCTCGTTTTATTTCCACTCTAGCATTTAGTTCTTCCTAGCTGGAGAATACCATAGTTCCTTAAGTCTCAACCTAGTAATCTTTGTAAGACTATACACTAGAATTATAGTATCATACATATATAGTATATTACTGCTGGAAGGTACCTTGGGATTAATCTAATCCAACTCATTTGTTTTCAGATGAAGAAATATGTGAAATGACTTAAAAAGTTTATACAGCTTGATGCATTTCCTATGTGCAAGGCATTATGCTAGGTGCTGGGATTCAAAGGCAAAAATTAAAAATAGTTCTCATCATGAAAGTTGCATTCTACAGTGTGTTTCAAAAGTCTTAATGCAGTTTTAAAACTAAACTAAGACTTGTGACACCCTATTCTATTGATTCTTTCAGGATGAAATGGTGATGATGGTGATAGATATCTAATTCACTTCTATAGCATATTAAAAGTGTGCTTGTAAAACTTTTAAAAGACCTAGTAATTAGTAAGCTTATAAGGATATAACTTGCTACTTATCAGTGACTTTTATAGTAAAGTGAAGTCAAGCATTTATTAAACACCTACTATGTTCTACTATGTTCTAGAAACCATGCTAAGTGCTAGAGATTCAAAGAAAGACAAAAATAATTCTTGTTCTTAGCAACCTTACTTATGTCTAATAGAGGACAAAGTAGCATAGCTAATACTGTATACAACAAAGAGATGTGTGCTCTCTGCAGATCTAGGATGTGTGTTAGACTATGCCTTGCTTTCTTCTCATTTTCTATTAAAAAATACTAAAATAGACTAAAGATGGAACTCATTAATTTTGGGAAAGACCAGGAAAGGCTTCTTAGAGAAGATGGGATTTTCGCTGAGGTTTGAAGGAATAATAACAATAACAATGGTGACAGCATCACCAGCAGCAGCAGCAGTAGTAACTACAATGAACATTTATATAGTGCTCATTCTGTGCCAGGCACTGTTCTAAGCACTTTACAATTATTATCTCATTTGATTCTCACAGCAACACCAAGAGGTAACCCCTCTGTCACAATATGGGAAGAGAAAGTGTGCTTTTGGAGAATTTAGATCTTACTCCTCAAGGTAAACATGTGACTGCCCATCTATTTCTGCTCCATTGTGCCCCCTGTATAAGTGGGTACAACAAAGAGTTTGCATAGCCCAGGGCAAAATGACCCTCAGTCAATTCACTTTCTCTCCTATTTTATGGGTTTTTATAGAAGATGAAGTATTGAATTAAATTATAACTAAATCCTCTCCTGTATAGCTCACTGAGCCTCCACTTAGAAAATTTGTAGCATTTGGACAGAGATTTAGATTTCTGACCTATTTAAATTCTGAGAATTTCTAACTAGCCAGTGACATCCTCCAGTGGTATTTGCCCAATATGGGTGAAATTGAAATATTTATAAAATGAAGCATTTATAGCTGATCATAGCTTCTGTACAAAGGAAAGTATTTTCAAAGACACAAATTGTATCAGAAATTATAAAAGAATATAAGAAACTTAGGGGTAAAATGCCTGCACATTTCAGGTAGAAATAAATGAATGTAGGAAAGGGAGAGTTTTGATATGGTACCAGTTCCAATAGTCTTTGAGAGAAATAGTTTGGCCATACTTCTGTACAGAATTCCTTCAATAGTCAGAGTGATGAACAGAGGCATCTCCAGCCATATTAATACCTATTGTCAATTCCCAGGTACGTGCCAGTGCTGCTTATAACAGGTCAGGGGGTGAGTGCTGAGGACCTGAACTAAAGTATTGGAAAGAGAAGTAGAAGAACATGGTTATGATATTATGGTACGTATCCTTTCTGAGCTACTGCTTCATTGCAGACTAGTTGTCCGACTGTCTTCCTATATTGCCTTATTCTGCCTGGTCACGGAGTGATTCAGAAGCTTCTGTTTGCCACTAGAAGTTAAACGATCATAACAACCCAAGTTTCTTTGGGGCCTATGAGGACTATAGTTTCCAGCATTCTCATTTAGGGCTTAGACCCTTTCCCCGCCTGCAGGGCAGAAAGCCCTTTAATATTGGGAATGCCATCCCTCCACCTCTTCTAATATATTCCTTCCTATTATTTAAGGCCAAAGCCCAATGCCACCTCCTCAGTTTACAGCTCCATTGACCCCTACCTCCCAAAGTTGACAATGATCATCCCCCTTAGGCCTCATATAGTATTTTGATTGCCTAAATGCCCTTATTATGTTTTTTTTTTGTTATTTTGATGTTGCATCTACTTCCAAAATTGTAAATTTAATGAAAGCCTTTTTATTTCCCTTTGTGTTCTTAGGGCACACTATATACATTATAAATACATGTTGGATTTATATTTGTACTTATGAGAGATAAAGCTAGGCAAGTAGGCTGCATTGTGACTCAGGAAAAAATTGAATGAGAGATAGATGAAGCTGTATCAATCTCACTGTGGGGAGCATGGTGGGTAAAGGTTTGCCATAGGTATACTCTCTTACTAGGAAATATTTTTATCTGGTTAGAATGCTGCAGCTGCACCTGCTCATTTATTGGCTCTACTGGAGTTGGAGGCAGTTAGTCATGTAGTAGTCCCAGCCTGGAGTCATGAAGACTCATCTTCCTGAGTTCAAATCCAACCTCAGACACTCACTAGCTGTGTGACCCTGGGTAAGTCACTTAAGCCTGCTTGCCTCAGTTTCCTCATCTGTGAAATGAGCTGGAAAATGAAATGGTAAAACACTCCAGTATCTTTGCCAAGAAAATCCCCATTGGGGTCACGAATAGTGAGACATGATTGAAATGACACCATAGCCACCTGAGTTGAGTGGCTTCTAGCTGTATTGCTGAATGAGGGTTGTTCTTCTGGAGTTTCTTTGCCATATTCTTGATAGTCTTTCTAGATAGGCAATTCCCGCCATTGCTATGCTTCAGAATTTATTCAATAATGCATTATGGCTTCCAGAAGACATTTAGCTAGTGAGATAAGAAGGGTATAGCTATTGAATTGCAAGGCAGTGTGTCTCAAGAGTCTGTACACGTATCATAGCCATTGGGCTCAGGGATGGCAACTGCCAATTCTGCCACTGATTTACTTTAATTGTAGCTTCTGAAGCATCCATTATAATATTTTAAATGGAATTAAAGTTCAGTAAGAATTTGCTGAACACCTACAATGTGCAATTCACTGTGTTAGATCCCGAGGATTCCATGAGAGCCAATCACATACTCCCTGCCCTCAAGGAATTTATTTCGGAGAGTAGCAACCGTGGTGATGCTTGAATATAGTATGAACATAAATATGTATGATTCATAGTAGGTTATTTGTGACTTGAGCAAAGGAGAGAGACAAAGTATCTGAATAAGAGTTAAGGAGGAAAGGGATTTTCTCGTCTGGAAGACCAGATAAGACTTTAGGGTGGATGTGTTGACTCCTAAAGGGAGATTAAAATGTAGATAGATGGAGCAGCATTATGGTATAATGGATCAGTATCTGAACTTGGAGTCAGGAAGACTTGGGTTCAGCTTTCACCACAGACACTTACTAGCTGTGTGACCTTGGACAAGTCACTTATCATTCTGTGCTTCAGCTTTCATCTAAAAAATGAAACCATTGGATTCCGACCTCTAAGGTCCCTTCCAGTACTAAATCTGTGATTCTATGATCTCCAGAGAGGAGAGACTATTTCCCAGGAAAATGGTCACCTGGTTGAATGCACAGAGAGAGGAGATGCTAAAATAAGGTAACAACAGGTAGTCTAAGTTGTTTGGAACAGAATGCTTGAAGGAGGATAATATGAAATAAGGCGGAAAAGGTAGGCTGGAGTTAGATTTTGGAGGGCCTTAATGCCAGGCTGAAAAATTAGTATTTTATTCAGTTGACAGTAGGGAGCCATTTAAAGTTTTTGAGTGGGGGAGTGTTGTGGTTAGAGCTGTGCCCTTATGTAGATTATGTGGCAGTTCTATGAAGGATGAACTGTAGAAGGGAAAAGCTGGCTCCAATGGAGAAGCTATTACAGTAGGTCAGGGGATAAGTGCTGAGGACCTCAACTATAGTATTGGAAGCATGAGTAGAAGGACATGGATGGGATATTATGGTCGATGAATGAATAGTACTTGACAACTGATTGGATGTGGGGCTTGAAGGAAAATGATGAGCCAAATATGATTGAGGATTCTGGTTCCTCAAGTTTCTTGTCTCTATGCTCAATAGTTAAAAAATGCTCTACATAATTTATCTAGGTTTATACCAATAATAGCCCTAAGGGGGCAGATGAAGTAGATATTGTCATTCATATTTTTCAGATGAGAAAACTGAGGCTGAGTGATATTAAGTGACTTGCACAAGACTGTACAGAAGTTGGGGCCACTAGGTAGAGTAGTGAATAGAACACTGGCCCTGAAGTCAGGAGGACCTGAGTTCAAATTTGGCCCCAGACACTTACTAGCTGTGTGATCCTGGGCAAGTAGGTTAACCCTGATTGCTTCCTCCAGTAGGAATTTGGCTTTGATAGGGAGGAGATGATATACAGGATAGTTTGAGGAGATGTTAGGAGATAGTGATAGTTTCTTAAGGGTGGAGGGTATGCTGGGAATAATTATTAGCACTAGGGGAAAAAGTCATCAGCAGAGAAAACCTAAGAATAGGTAGAGAGGAGATGATTGTGAGTGCAGTCTCTGGCAGATATGAGAGGCAATATTATCAAAAGTACATAGAAAGGGTTGGCCTTAATGAAAAGAAGGGCCACATCTCCATCAAAGACTGGAGTGAAGTCCAGATAACTCAGGATGATGTCAAAGAATTTTGATAAATACCCTGCCTCCCCAAACAGTTAAACCCTCTCTACTCTTGGTCTTTATCTCATCTATAAAGTTAGGGTAATGTAAGATGTTGATTGAGATATTGTGGTATGTTAAGTAGAGCACTAGACTTGTAGTCTGAAAGGCTTGAGTTCAAATACTGCCTTAGATACTTATCAGTCAAAACTAACCCTATGCAAGTGTCTTAGATTTTCTGAGCCTCAATTTCGTCGTTTTTTTTTTTTAAAAGCGTCTACCTCACAGGGTTGTTGTGAATGTCAAATTAGTTAATGTATGTAATGTTCTTTTCCTAACCTTGAAGTGCTGTAATAATGCCAATCATTATTATCTTGTTCTTATATTTTTCAATGGAATTTAGATAGAAATGATCTGGGACAAATCATTATTTTGTTACTATTCTTTTATGCTTAATATTCTGTGAATTATTGTACAGATGTGCACAGTCAGCAATGACTGCTTTTTGTAATTGAAAAAAAGCATTGGGATGACGAAGCTGATATTTAACTCATCTTGTTCTCACATGCTTTTAGTTTCTTCTACTAAGTCTCTACATTTTGCTTTTCATTCAATGTCATTTGGCAATTGTAAGTATTTGATATAGTGACATCTATTAAAAATATTCGTAAATATTTAAGGATTATTATTTGTCTGGGTGACTGTGAGTAACATTTCAGTCTATGATGATGTTTCAGTTCCAGTAAAATTTGTTAAGTTCTGAAGAGTAATTTGGAGCCCATGGATTTTCCTTTGATTATACTCTTGGATCTTCTCCATTTCATAGGTTTCATCTTCTGGTACTTCATTTGCTATTGATCAGTGACGTGATGTCTTTGTTCCAGAAGTATTTTTGCAAGTTTTTTTTAAGCCTCTTTATCATATGCTCTGAGAATCACCATCCATCTTTTTTTTCTTCCTTTTGATGAGGGAATGTTATTCTTTTACCTTGGGATGATGGGCCTCATGCTATGTTATAAAGTGTTATTGTTAGGATACTTTTTAAATCTTATGTTTTTGTTATTACCTTACTATTTAGCTTGGAAAGATAAACTAAGTGTTCCAGGATTAGAAAAAGAAGAATTTACAAGGATAATTCACAAATGAGGCAATGAGAGAAAATGAGCTTAAATAAAATATGAGTGATTTGAGTTAGTCAGAAAGAACTTTAAATACTTTTTTAAAATATTGCTATCATTTGTTTTTATACTACCTACATTTCCCAGTGTCTCTCTCCTTCTATACCCCTCCACAGAATCAACACTTATAAAAAAATGAAAAAGGAAAGAAATATAGCTCAGCGAAATAACTAACATATCAAAAAAGTTAAGCATTATCTGTAGTTTTCCATACCTACAGTCCCCTCAATTCTACAAAGAAGAGGAGAGAGATACTTTCTCAAATATCTTCTCTAGTGTCAAACTAGGTTATTACAATTTCATAGCATTTAGTCTCAGTTTCCTTATTTTTGTTCTTTGCATTCATACTGTTGAGGTCACTGTCTATATGGTTTTCCTGGCTCTGCTTCAGTTTGCATCAGTTGATAACAAGTTTTTCCATGCATCTCTGTATTCATTACACGCATTGTTCCTCACACTTCAATAATATTCTATTGTATTCATATACTGCAGTTTGTTTAGCCATTCCCTAATTGATGGGCATTGATTTTTTTTTCCAATTCTTTTTTTGAACAAAAAATCCTGCTATAAATATTTTGGGTGTATGTGAGGCCTTTTTGTCATTCACTTTCTTGGAGCATATGCCTAACAATGAGATTTCTGGTTGAGTTAGGTCATTATAGCTTTTCTTTTTCATCAAACTCTGTCAGTCTTTTGAAATCTATAAATCCCCTTCTCAGAACAATATTTTTAATGCATAAAATAAAATACATGATATTACAGTGGAAACAATTATGTTGAAAAATAGTTATCAAAATATTTTAACATTTAGATATATAGTAATAAATCTAACAGCAGGTCTAATAACTACAGTAATTTTAAATAATGATGAGCATAAATGATATTTTGAAATATCTATAATATCTGTAAATGTGATGTGCAAGCGTCTGTGATTTCTGTTAATGACACAATTAGTGTTAATGCTACTGTGGTTTGTTGCTTACATTCGTAATTGAAGGAAATGCTAAATTTCAGTTAGATGTTAGTGCAAATAAAGGTGCAATTTTTCCCCCAACCAAGTTCGTAGACATCTGCCGAAAACTATCTGCAGACCCTTGTGGATCCATACATCCCAGATTAAGATTGTTATTTGTCCTTGTTCTCTAAGAGGACCATGACATCAGGAAGGTGATGCCATGACTTGCAAGTGAATTGGATTTAAGTGAGAGAGGGCTTTGCAAAGTCACCAGCCTCACTTTCTCCTCTGGAGCCACCTGGGTCAAGTGGCAAGATATAGGTCAGGATGATTGGAGATGGCCCTGGATGCAGTGGGAGACCTTGGCCTTTTTAAATTAAGATCTTTCCCATTCTCACTTTGACTGAAGGAATGCCCATTCACTGATTAAGGCAAGGTAAGAAATAAGCCAAGGAATAGCCTCTTTTATCTAATTAAAAAACAACAACAAGTGGGAGGGGAAGACTCTCAGGTTTTCTGGCCAAAATGGAAACAATTGCTATTTACATTCACTTTGAGCCTTCTGGGTCTAAACCCTAAAAAATGACCACTGAGTAGGTCCTGGGCTGAGACCTATTATCAGCCAGTCAATGAGAGCCAGAGCGAATCTGGTTTAAGGCATGGTTTTTAAGAAAGAAATCTAGTCCATAAACTCCAAGATATGTTGCTATGTTTCAGCCATCAAAATTTACACTACTTTGGGCTGAGCAACCAATGGTAGGGTATGATGCCCTATATAGACAGAGGGAGAGAAAGAAGGGAAGGAAAGGGAAGGGAAGAGGAGAGGATGGAAGGAAAGGAAAGAAGGAAGGAGGGAGGGAGCTGTGTTGCCCAACTGGAACTGGCCAATTGGGTCCCCAGTGGTGCAGCTTGGACTACTCACAAGTTGCTGTTTGTCCTTCATTCTCCAAGAGGAACTCGACACCAGGTAGGTGATGCCATAACTTGCAAGTGAATTGGATTTAAGTGAGGGAGGGCTGTGCAAAGTCACAAGCCTCATTTTTTCCTCCAGTGCCATCTGGAGTGACAAGACATAAATTAGGATGACTGGAGATGGCCCCCTCCCAGATTAAGAACCCTTACTTTAGAAGAACTCAGCAATAGGCACACAAAGATCCTAGAGCATGGTAAAAGGGAGATTACTGGGTCTTCCTTGGAGGAAACATAGATTTAAAAAAAAGATTTTTAAAATTAATTTATTTTTAGTTTCCAACATTTACTTCCATAAGCTTTTGAGTTTTAAATTTTCTCCCCCTCTCTTCCCAAGGCAGTATACAATCTGATATAGGCTTTACATATACATTCCTATTAAACATATTTTCACATTAGTCAGTTGTAAAGAAGAATTAGAACCAATAGGAGGAACTACAAGAAAGAAGAAACAAAACAAAACAGAAGAAAAAAAGAGCAAATAGTATGCTTCGATCTGCATTCAAACTCCATAGTTCTTTCTCTGGATGTGGATAGCATTTTCTATCATGAGACTTTTGGAGAAGTCTTTTAGATCCTGGCATTGCTGAGAAGAGCTAAGTCTTTCAAAGTTAGTCATCGCACAATGTGGCTGTTACTGTGTACAACATTCTCTTCGTTCTGCTCACTTCACTCAGCATCAGTCCATGCAAGTTTTTCCAGGTTTTTCTGAAGTCCACTTGCTCATCATTTCTTACAGCACAGTCGTAGTCCGTTACATTCATATACCACAACTTGTTCAGCTGTTCCCCAATTAATGGGCCTCCTCTCAATTTCCAATTCTTTGCCACCACAGAAAGAGCTGCTATAAATATTTTTGTACATGTGAGTCCTTTTCCCATTTTTATGATCTCTTTGGGATACAGCCTTAGGAGTGGTATTACTGGGTCAAAGAGTATGCACATTTTTATATCCCTTTGGGCATAGGGAAATAGATTTTTCAGATTAGACTGCATAGGCCTCTATCTAGAATGGTGTGGGAGGGTATGATTCACAATGGAAGAGTACCTGGGACTCAGAGTAAAGTGGCTTTTCCGAGGTCATTTGGGGTGTCAAAATCACTTTTAACTCAGCAGCCCCAGGCCAACTGGTATTTTTTAAAAAGGAGATATGACCCTGTAATTGACAGCACTTGGGACAATATTTTTGAGCAGGAGGAAATTCCTGGTGTTTCTAAACTCTTGACTTCTTGTTTCTGGTTCTCCCTGCTCCCAAGAACAATTAAAGTAGTAAAGAATTCTCCTTTGGCCAGCTAGATGGCTTAGTGGATAGAGCACCAGCCCTGGAGTCAGGAAGTCCTGAGTTTAATCGAGTTGGTCTCCTACCTTTCTGTCATCTGACTTCTTAAGTATTGGGAATTAAGGGTTGTTTTAGGGCGTGGGGTTGGGCAAGAAGTTTTCCCAATAGTTGATATTGAGGGAGATGTGTGGGATGACCTAACTTTCCCTTGTGTTATGAAGATTTGAGAATCTTTAGAGAACTGTCAGAAATCCCTTCATAGTCCTTCCCATCTGCTGTCTTTACCTTACTCCTCTCTTTCTCCCTTCCCCCAATCCTAGTCCAGACTCTAGCTTTTCGATACTCTGCCCAGCCCAAGAGGAGTCAGATAATGATCTAGTCAATGATTAATTTGTATGTAATTTGTAGGATTTATTAATTTGTAATTTCATCAAATTATAATTGGTGAGTAAAGGTTTTAATGATGCTATTGTATTGTGCATTTACATAACCGTTATTAAAAAAAAGCCAAATAAGGGTATTAAAGCTTGGTTTCAGGTCCTTTTCTCTAAGTCTTTCATAGATTTCATTAATTTATCAAACATTTATTAAGCAACTGGTACATTCAGACCACAATGCTAGGCATTGGGGGGAATTAGATCTAAATAGACATAATCACTGACCTGAACAAGTTTGTAATTTATTCAGCGAGATAAAACATGTTCTCAAATAATTATAATATGAAATAAAATATAGGTGCATATGAGGGATTAAAAAAAAAACCATCATGTGAATTTGAGGCTGTAGTGATTACTTCAGGCAGAAGGGGAGCATGGAAGGCTGAATTTGCATCCAGTCTTAGATACTTGCTAGCTGTGTGACCCTGAGCAAGTCACTTAAACTTTCTCTGCCTCAATTTCCTCAGCTATAAAATGGGGATAAAAATAATGCCTCTCAGGGTTATTTTAATTATGAAATGAGATAACACATATAAAACGTTTTGCAAACTTTAAGCACCATATAAATGATGACTGTGATGGTGATGAAGGAAATCAGCGTGAGCCAGGAGAAAACTTATCTTCTTTCCTAAGTTTTCTTCCTTGAGGGAAGTCTTGGGGAGTCTCCTAACTATAATGATCTGAGAAAAGACCTTAATTAGCCCATTTTGGGATAAGTTCTTATCGATTAGCTGATAAAAAAACTCTTACATTCTGACCATTTCACTTTAGTCTCTCAAATCCTTTTGGCTACTTAGAAGCAGATGTAATCTAGTAACCACCATGGCAATTCCCCTGTTTTTCCCACTGGGTATTTCTGCTTCCCCAGAAAAACACATATCAAACACAACATTTTTGTGCTAATGTCTGGATCTTTGATCTTTCAGGCAAAAGATAAATCGAAGAAGGAATCTCATAAGGTGTGTGCCCCAAGCTCTTCTTGAATTTCCTAGCTGTCAAGTTTTCCTTCTCTAACAAACTTCAGGAAATGATGGTGGAGAAAGAAGTGCATGGGGCTGACAAGTTCACCTGCATCAAAGGAGGTCTTTGGGGATACATATGGCTTTAGAATAGCTTCCAGTGGAGGGTAGTTTCTATTGAGGATGGAGTCCCAGATGTACCATGTGTGTTACTGCTGTCAACTAGCCTTATAATTATAGCCTGGCTCCCTGTTGGCCTCTTAGATGGGGCTGTGTTCACATTTGCTGTGGCCCCAGCTGAGACCACAAAGACCTGTTTATATCATGCCTGCTGTTATGAGTTGCTGTTGCATCTCAGCTTTCGAACAGTCTCTGTTGTCAGCTCTGTCAAGCTTAAATAGCTCACACAGGGGTGGGTAAGTTTATAGGATGGTGACTAGATCAGTGTTTATCGGATGGTGAACATCTGAAGGGGAGCAGTGTGAGATACGCTTATAAATCACGGTGAGAATCAGATACTTGGGAACCCTGAATGCCATGCCCAAGAGTTCAGATTTTATTCAAGAGCTAATGGGGAGCCATTGGAAGCTTTTGCATAGAGAAATGTCCCCAGTCTCATGACTTCAGGGTGCAAAATCTTTTTTAAAATTTTCTTAAAATTTTTAATTTTTTTTCTTTGAGCAGTGGGCAGATTTTAAGAATTTGAGCATCTTTTTTGTTTGTTTGTTTGTTTTTTTAGGCAATTGGGATTAAGTGACTTACCCAGGGTCACACAGCTGGTAAGTGTCAGGTGTTTGGTCTGAGGCCAGAGTTGAACTCAGGTCCTCACAAAATCTTTTTAAACAATTATTTGACTGCATGAAAAATTTCTGTTATAAGCTTGTTTTATTGGTGAGCAAACTCGTTAGTCCCTGGGAGCACTGAGTGATAGCTTTGCATTAGTGTTATGTACAGACCAACTTGCCCTGCAGGTTTGCCATGAGCAAAGCTCACATCATTGATAATAAAACAATTTTCAAATCAAAAGTCCCTGGGAAATGCACGCTAATAGTAATGATCATGTGATCAAGTCTCTGTTGTCCTTCTTGTGCGCTGATGCCATTGAAGGGTTATTGGAAGTTGCTGTGAATCAAGTCAGTATGTCCTGGCAGTCAGAAAGCTAAAAAGTCCCATCAGTAGGGTTAAGTAGGAAGAATGAAGAGAGATGCCCTATTTTTCACTGGACCCTCAGACTCTGATCTTCCTCTAGGATTCTGAGTCAGCCAATCAAGTATTAAATATTTACTGATAGAATGCCTAGGTCTTCTAGGTCTCATAGCTTCATGAGGTGTTGAAATTCTTACACCATCAGGTCACTAAGGCCTGGTTTCTTTTTCTCTCCACTAGAACTGGGATTAAGGGAATTAGTGGCCTAAGGCACACTACAGAGGAACATAACTAAAGATATTATAAAATATGATTTTTTATAAATACACTTTTTTTCCCCCAGTATAGGACAGGTATTTTATTGCTAAACACAAAAGTAATAATAAACACAGGACACTCACAAGCTTGCATTTGACAAAAGCATACCAAAAGTATGATTCAGTCACATAACTTAGACCACATATCACGACAAATTTCAAATAGACACATGAGCTAAATATAACAGGTCACATTGAATGCATATATTTTTAATGTGAGGAATTCCATTTCCCACTTCACATATATTTTGACTTACGCTGAGGGGTGTGGCGGTGGGGGCCAAGGCCAGGTGGGTAGACAGGAAAGTTTCCAGGTTGAAAATTACCAGTGAGCATGTCACTCCTTTACTCAGAAATATTCAGTGCTTTCTGCCTGTTGAAATAAAAGATCACAATTTTTTTTGCTTGGCATTTGAAGCCTTCCACAACATGACACCACCTACTTTTCTAGCCTTATCTTACATTACTATCATCTGTATTTCCTATATTCCGGGCAAACTGGACTACTCCCTCTTCCTTAGGATATATAGAACACTCTCATGCCACTTAATCTTTGATCTCCCTATTCCTCATGTCTAGAATTTCATTTATGAATTTCCTTTATGAATTTTTGCTCATTCTTTAAATATCAACTCAGATGTCACCTACTCCATTTAGACTTTCCTGAACTTCTGTGATGGTAACAGACTTTCCCCTTAGAGCTCACATAGCATTTTGTTTTGTATCTCATACGTTTGTTATGTAACATTGTGTATTATAGTTAGCTGTGTTTTAGTCTTTTCTCCCTACTTAATTGTAATCTCCCTATGTATGGGGAAGGGCTGTGGCCTGCTTATATTTTTATATGTCACCTAGCACTCTGCATACAGTAGGCAGCAAGATGGTACAGTGGGTAGAACCTTGGGCCTAGAGTCAGGAAGAACTGAATTCAAATTCCTCTTCCAACAGTTATTAGTTGTGTAATCCTGGGCAAATCACTTAACTTAAAGTCTATCTGCCTCCATGTCCTAAACTGTAAAATGGGATAATAATAGCATTTATCCCCCAATGTTGTTGTGAGGATAAAATGAGATAACACATATTAAATGCTTCACAAACCTTAAAGTGCTATATAAATTGAAGACATTTTTGTTTTAATTTCAAAAAATTTTAAATATTTTATTTTTTTCAATTACATGCAAAGACAATTTCAATATTCATTTTTTGAAAGATTTTGAGTTTCAAATTTCTCTTGCTCCCTCCCTCTCTTCCCCCCTCCCCAGGACTGCAAACAATTTGGTATAGGTTATACATGTGTAATCATGTAAAGCGTGTTTCCACACTAGTCATGTTATGAAAGTCGAACCATTATTATTACTAATAAATGCCTGCTGACTTGAATGGGGGGCAAACCTAGGAGCCAGGTGCCGTGGTGGGACTTTCTCAGCAAGCATATAGAACTTCTGGCTTCCATTAGTTAGGAAGATGGAGTAAGTAAGACAATGCCAGGGCAGTCCAGGTTCTTAGCTGACTTATCAAAGTGGTAGATTTGAATATCAAATACTGGCAGTTAGGATAATTACAGGTGGGGTGAGACTACTTCAACTTGAAAGACTGCTTGAGTCAAAAGTGGGGCAGGGTCCAAATCCACAAGTCAAGATTGTAGAAGTCAAGTTAATACATTTGCAGCATATTGCATTGAAGTAAATTCAACTGAATGAGATAGGAAAAGCAGTCCTAGAAATCTTACCAAATTCTGGCAAAGAAAAATCCAGTGATTCCTTCTCCTAGCTTTAGTAGAAAGTGATCCCAGTTCCATTGCTTACTAGTAGTGTGACCTTGGACAAGGCCTTCCCTTCCCACCTCTCCCGCTCACCTCAGTTTCTTTAGCTGGAAAAAAGGAAGGGATTGAATTAGATCACTTCTGAGTTTTTCTCCATTCCTGAGATTTTATATTCTAAATAATAAGTAAAAAACTAGGTATTTGGCAAGAGTCTCAAAGATCTGGTGAATAATCATATGTAGGCAATGCCATTCTGAAGCATCTCAAATACACACTTATTCTTTTTCCTATCCACTGGAAGAGAGGTATAGTAGAAAAAGAAGTGTTAGGTGGGATGGTGATAGAGTGTTAGAGTTGGACTAAGGAAGATCTGAGTTTTAATCTTATCTTGGACAAGTCACTTAACTTTTCTTTGCCTTAGCTTAAATACTGGTAAGCTACTGGTAAGTAATGATATCACCTATTTCACAGGCTATGAAGAACAAGGGTGCCTAGGTGTCTCAGTGGATAGAGTACAGGGCCTGTAGCCTGGAAGACTCATCTTCCTGCGTTCAAGTCTGGACTCAAGACATTTATTAGCTGTGTGACCCTATGCAAATCATTTAACCCTGTTTACCTCAGTTTCCTCATCTGTCAAGTAAGCTGGAGAAGGAAATGGCAAACCACTTTAGTATTTTTGATAAGAAAACCCCAAAAAGGGTCATGAAGAGTCAGATTCAACTGAAGAAAGATTTATTCATAAATGATAGCAGGCCCCTGAGAATATTTCTTTCCTTGGCTAGAAGCAGAGTTATTGCTATGAGAACAGTAAGAGAATAACTATTCCAGCAGCTGAAACCTCACAAATCATGTTTGGAAAAGAAGGGATATTTTCTGTTGACAATACTTGTCTGTATCATATATAAGGAGTATCCAGGGAAAAAATGTTATCCACATAGATATTCTCTGAGGATAAAGAGAATATTTATTTTATAAATGGCCTTCTACATGACTATACTTCCCCTTTACATAAGTGTATAGGAGAGTGTTGATGATATAGAGACATTGAGGGTCTCTATCTATATAGATATATATCCATGTGGTAGCTAGGTGGTGGAGTGGATAAAGCACTGGGCCTGGAGTCAGGAAGACTCATCTTCCTCTATTCAAATCTGACCTCAAACACTTTACTAGTGACCTTGCGTAAGTCACTTAACCCTGTTTGCCTCAGTTTTTTCACATGGAAAATGAGCTGGAGAAGGAAATGGTGAATCATTCCAGTATCTTTGCCAAGAAAACCCTAAGTGGGGTTACAAAGAATCAGTCACCACTGAAAAACAATTGAATATCTATCTATCTATCTATCTACCTATCTATCTATCTATCTATCTATCTATCTGTCTGTCTGTCTGTCTGTCTGTCTGTCTGTCCGTCCGTCCGTCTGTATCTATCTATCTATCTATCTATCTATCTATCTATCTATCTATCTATCTATCTATCTGCCTGTCTATGTATCTGTCTATCTACATATTTCTAGATAGATATAGATATATACATAAGTTATAGGTTTGCGGGGTTGTCATGTGCTTATATATTTGTGTATGTGAGCTGGGATTTAGTGTATACATCTGTGTATTGGGGCTGCTGATACATGGCTGTAGTGGTTTATATAGGCTGAGCAATTGGTATGTGTCTGTTAAAATATGTGCAAGTGTATGTACATGTGTGTATATGTGTGTGTGTGCATATGTATGTGTACTGAGTGGCTCACATGGGCTTTAAGGAGTAAGTTTGTAT